GAGATGCACATGCACCTACCCAGGGGGGGTGCGGGGGGGGGGGGGGTATTCCTCCCTGCAGTGCAGGTGCATGTGCATCTCTTAGGGGAGTGTCCCGGGGGCTCAACGCATCTTCGCAGGACTCAAAATTGTCTTTCCACATTTAGAGTGTATACGCATGAGTGAATTATGCACATTTAGTACGCATTATGCCACATTATTCGACAAATCACGATAAAAGACACAGCAGCAGCGATTAGAGCGATGGCTCACTATATTGGAAAGTCCCCCCCCCCCTTTCGTAAAACCACCCCTCTTTCCCAATCAAACTTACATGGTCATTCCAGCTGGTTACCACAGATAGTACTTGCTGGCAGTCGGCGGGCAAATGCTTCGCGACTTTGATTGTGCCGTCAATGAAAACTTCGGCCGTGGCGCTCATCCACTCGAGCACATCGGAGAAGACGAACACCAGGCTACGAAGGTGGGCAGGTCCAACACAGCCGTTGTACACCTGGACATTCCCCACCAGCGACTGCCCGAGATGGCTGAAGTTGTTTGTCAGCTGCTGGTGAATTTGAAGCATGTTGCCCGGGAGCGGAGGGCGCTCACCTCTTCGCGCATCATAGACTGCGCGCCGAATAACGCGTTCATCCAGGTGCACGCGAAGTGCTGGTGGAGCCCTGGAGTAGAGGGGGGCACAACGAACACTTTATTATCATAGGTGGAAGCGTGTGATGCGCGATGTAACAAGTACTACTTGAGCGAGCGCCTTGGCCAGCCGCCCTTCACGCAATACCCCACCAAATGAACAGCGGTCAGGCGCGTATTAAGGGGGGGGGGCGATCGCCCCCCCTGTGGCCCCTAGATAGCCGCCTGAAAGGTAGGCAATTTGATCCACAAAACCCCTGAATGTAGGCAACTTATTGCGCTACACCGCCCCCCCTGTCGGCCGCCCCTTACTACGCCCCTGACAGCGGTCCCTACAAATTATAAAGTTTGAACCACATTTTCCGTATACATGAAATGCAGGCTGACTCTTTCTCCAATATGAATTGCCAGCTCCGCCTTACGGGCGGGGAGAGTAGGCTATCCCGCAACACTGCGGCGCCCGCTCTGATACACCCGCTACGCATCACCAGCCTAAGCTAAAACAGATAGTGAAGATGGCGACCAGAGATATCGATGCGTTGGCCGTTGGGCTGTCGCTAAATGAATGGCGAAGCGGAAGAAGGGGATAACTTGACTTACCCCAAAAATGAGATTTTTATGCCATGTTATAGAACATTATAATCCGCTTCTGTCCACCAAATATTATGGGGACATCTCCCATAGAATGGGAAATACAGTGGTTTGTAAAAAGAGATAAGTCTACTTCACTCATTTGGCACGATAATTTTCACACACCAATAGGGGATAAGTCGACTTAACCCAAAAGTCCTCAAATTTCAACTAGAGCAAAAAGAGTTAAGTCAACCTATCTCTTTCTGCCACAGGTGGTCAAAAGAGTTAAGTTGACTTATCCCCTTTTGCATGTAGTGAAAACATTGACATGATAAAAGGCGAAGCAAGTTTTCTGGATAGTTTAGTTGATATCAAGTCTGGCATATTACAGTTAAGAGTTATGTCGAAATGTCTCCATGTCATGCTGGTCAAAGGGGATAAGACCTGAAACTCCATGAAGGAGTGAGATATTGAAAAACTTCAAAGTGACTATAATATTCTTGATGAAAGTACATGCAAACCCAATAATAATATTTCTTAGAATATGAGTGCAAATAGTTTTTTGCGTTTCCTGAAAACTATGGTTTTTGGACTTATCCCCTTCTTCCGCTTCACCATTCAAATTAAGATGACTCTTTCATGCTAGTCACAAGCGCCACGGCGCGCGAGCTTGCCAGCTGAAAAGCAGCGAGCGAGTGAGGCGGGCTCAACAGGGTGGTGGTCGTGATGGTCCCGCTGCTGGTGCGCGGGGCACTCCCCCCCCCCCTCCCCCGCTGCTGGCGTCGTCCTGGTCCTCGACCTGGGGCGTGTGAAGTTAAGTACGCGTGAGCGTTCACGTGAAGCGAGCGCTCAAGAAAGAGATGTGCGGTGCCTCATAGTAAGCAAAATTGCCAAAATTTCTGAAGAATTACAATCTCCGTGTTGTCCACTTTCCCAAAATGTATAGTTTTGTCAATTTTCAGTTCATTTGGCTTGCTATAAGTCTCACTGGTGACAAGTGTTAGTGGGATATGTCCACTTTTTTCAAAAATCACTTTTTTCCATATTTGGATACTACTGGGTAATAGGAACCGTTTGGTATAGTCAAAACTTTCCTAAGTGCAATACGCCCAGTGTTACGGGGACAAAAATCAGATGTCAGTATGGGATAAGTCCGGTTGTAATTTTTCAGACAGGCGTAAGTCCAAAACGAGGATTTTCCAAAGAGGCATATGTCCGGATGTGATTTGGCAGAATGGCATATGTCCATGGATCCAGAGGACTTACGCCATTCTGACAAATCACAACCGGGACATATGCCCTTTTCAAAAATCATGTTTGTGGACATACGCCAGTCTGTCAAGTCACACCCGGACTTATGCCACTCTGAGAAATCACCACTAGACATGCTCCTTTTTGTCAAATCATGTGGCATTGACTTCACTTTTCCTCTAACTAGGGCTAATGTAACATCAACAATCCTGAGACAAATAGCAATGCAAAACATATTCTAGATTGTAGGTTATTTACGTCAACATTCAAAGTCAACTGTCGCCATGGTGGTATTTTAGTGGTGAAAATACAGAGGAGGAAGGACACTTCGTTAGAGCTACATGGCGTTGGCGGCTCACGCGTGTTAGCGTCAGCCTACCAGCCCTCCGACTAGAGGGTAAGGAGGGGCGGCAGGAGCGGCAGGCAACACAAACAGCGCGCACGTTGAGCGGGGTTGCCTACGCCCCTGCGAACGAGGCGGTAGGGCGGGTGCCGGCTAGGGCAACGCCTTAGGCGTGCTCTGCTCTTGGGGCCGCGGGGACACACAACGTGTTCGTCGACCTGACCCACATGCGCCTTCTGCTGCCGCGCAAAGACACGCCCGCTAGGGTGAACAGCTGACTAACACTTCGACCGCGTCTTGACGCCGCCGCGCACACGGGCATACTGTCACTGTCCCAGACACAACGCCCAAGGTGCTCGTGCTCGACGCGAGCGGCGGCGGCCTGCAGAAGGCGCCCAGCGCAAGAGGATCGACCTGGTGTCCGTGTCGACCGCCTTCGTCCTGTTTTGCCCCTTGGCAATGTCCGGCCTGGAGAAACTAGAAGTGGTGGCGCTGCCGTACGCTCTCAAGCCGTCCTGCACAGCGGCGTGTCGTGAAGCTGATAGCCCATAGGACGGCTCTCCGCATGAGCTTGACCTACGCATCGTGCCCCTGCTAGCCAACCTGCCCAACTTCCGCGAGATGACGTGCTGCAACCTCCCCGGGCTGGAGGCTGTGGCTACCTGAAACTCCCCCCGCATCCTGGACCTCAACATCTAGACCAGCACCTAGTACAGGTCGGCAGCCGTGCGGACTACCACGCTCCTCCGCGAGGCAAAGGACCTGGGCAAAGTGGAGCTGCTGTGGCCGGGGCAGGCGACGGCGACGTGGACACTGTCATGCTCGTCGAGGA